AAAATGCCTGAAGCATGTGTAGATTAATGAGCAAAGCATGGCTTTCCACTTTTTGGTCAAGAGAGACTTCTCATCCCTTCAAGTCAACGGATCAGGGAGTCAATGCATAATAATAGTGTCTATGAACGAATCATTCACTATTATGAATAATTGCACACAAGAAAAAAACCCACTCAGTCAAAGATGTTGGTTATTCATTTATCTTCACTGAGTTTAATTGATGTTCACAGAGCGTATGCTGAAAAATGACATTTTGATAAAAGTGTTATGCACTCTACGACACTGAGACATGCTGAATGTTGAACACTGCCTACAAACTGTGTACATAAATGGTCAATTAAAACAGCATTGCTGGTAAAAATGTATTTTTTTTGGTAATGTCACAAAATAAACCCAGCCTGTATCCCTCAGAAGGGGTTTATTTTGAGATAATGACCGGCTAACTGTACATTTTCCTGCTAATTACATGCCTGCTTACCACATAAATACTGTATGGACATATGGACGAGAATTATTGATTTGAGCTGAAATTGGAGTTATTTTGCAAGAAGAAAGAGGTTGCAGAGTGATACAACTCACATAAAACTAGCACAGCTACATCAAAAATTATACAGATTACTGGTTGCGGAGCCTCATAAGTGAGCAAAATGTAAAGCTCTACATAGACAACAACCCTGCATGCTAAAAAATTCCCACAATGGAGACAACTTGCACTTAATTTCAACTGAGTTTGATGTTAGCATGTTGCTAAGATATTGTGTCACATTCTAATAAAAAAATGCACTGCACACACAAATATTGCAAAAAATAATAGATTTTAGATACATTTAATTCAATTCAAGTTTATTTGTATAGCGCTTTTCATGATGCAAATAGTTGCAAAGCAGCTTTACAGAAAATTAAAGTCTATTTAGTAATAGCTTATCAGTGGTGATTATCTCAAGTTGATGTCCATAAGACAAATGTACGGTAAAAAACAAGCAGTTAGTAAATGTCGTAGCTTATCTACCCCTAATGTGTGTATATTAGCTTGTATTAGGGGTGAATTGTTCCTTCACAATGAGAGACAAAGTTGTTTTCTGGTACCTTGACTCTCTCTGCTCCTCTCTGGTGGAATCAGCTGCCAACCTCCATCCGAGCTATACAGAAATCATCACAACTTTCAAGCAGCTGCTAAAGAAATACATCTTTAACAACACTTAACAACTCCACAATCCTGTGGAGGGGGTACTTCAGTTGTGAACTGTGAAGTACAACTTGCTCTGAGGGCACTGCCCGAGAGACAAGCTAACTGAAACTTTTTATTTCCCCTGACTGTTTAGGGAGCTTATAGTTCTTGGAACAAAGCAATAACCAAGAAAAGAATTACCAAGAACATTCAATCTACTGCTTCTATAATTACTGTTAAAAAGCAGACCATCTCAGACACGAAAAAATGGATTATTCGAAGTGCATGAATGATGAAATCTGACGGAAACAGCACATATTCTTTCCCAGCACACATTATTATGGGATGAGTCAGATTTGTGAAGAATATGCAATGGAACTCTCAAACTGTCAAATAGTTAGACCTTCCGAAATGGTTAAGATGACCTTCACTCATCAAATTACAACAGGTTCCTGTTCCTGCACCTGCAGCCTAAATTCTGCTCAGCATGGAATATGCCACTCAAGCTTGAGGCATTTTATGGTACAGCTATAATTCATCCATCAAATAACTGCCGGAACGGACACAAGGTTGCTGTCTGCAGATTTCCGTGTCGTCTCCAGCGTCAAACACAAACCGGAGGACTACAGCCAGAATAATGCTTCCCCCTTCTATAGATAGGTACAGTCAGTCATCCGTTACCCCCCAAGATTAGAGGAGAAAGAGAGAGCGGGTCACTTTTATTTTGGGAATCTGAGAGGGGGGCGAGGCGGATAAAAGCGTTGTGGTTTATGGCCAATGCTCCCCACCACGTGTGCATCCCTGGAGAGGGTGACGCCGGCCAGCCGGTCCACTTCACCTTTTCCAAAGAACCTGCGGATGCTGTGGTCTCAACTACAACCTATTTCCAGCTCTGCAGCTATGTGATTATACCAATGATCCCTTCCGCTATCGCAAAAGCCTATAAGGGGCAGTATTCCTGTGGCGCCTGTCGGGCAATTCGACACACACTTAATCCTCCTCTGTGTTCATGGAAACAGCAATAGAAAACTCATTAGGAGGTCTGGAGATAGAAACACACAAACGTCCGTACAGGGGCTGGAAACTTTTGGGAAAGTTTTGTAAATGGAGCTGATCGGGAAAGAAGCTGTCTATGCTAACGGCTTACTTCTGCTCAAGGTGAAGTCTAGAAACTTTGGAGGTAGGCATGGAGCCCATTGGCTCCAGCCTCGTCTTTGGTGTTTGTGGGGGCATTTTAACATGCGGTTCAATGGGAGCAGCTGGTCTTTCGGAACCGGAGTTGCTGATACAGCTCCTCGAGGTCAAAACCGTTATAACAATACATCACTGCCTCTACAGCTGTGGATGCAAAACAGCAGGGAAGGCTTGTGGCTTACCACTCTTATATCCAAAGCTCTATTATATGGCATATTTGTGTGTCCACTCATTAAGCTTACCCATAATTAGTGTGGATAAGGATTCATGTTTCTAGGTAAAAAGGAAATATGGATTAAACACAAGACGGCAGATGCTATAGCGAGATTTTCCATCCTGTACTTAAAGAGGGCAGATTTATTTATATCGCATCAATACTAATCAGAAAACTCCTTCTAATTTAGATGTAAACCAAGAAAACTATTTAAAATGCTTTTACCATCCATACACTATAATGCAAAGGTTTGCTTTTAGTAAAACATTTTTTTGAAAGAAATCAATACTTTTATTCAGCAAAGGCGCATTAAATTGATTCAAAGGCTTTTATAGTATTACAAAAGATTTATATTCCAAAAATAAATGCTGTACTTTTCAATTTTCTATTCATTAAAGAATCCTGAAAAAAATGTATCACAGTGTCCACAAAAATATTACCCAGGACAGCTGTTTTCAACTTTGATAATACATGAAGAAATGTTTCTTGAGCACCAAAATCAGCATATCAGAATGATTTCCAAAGAATCATGTGACACTGAAGACTGGATTAATGGCTGCTGAAAATTTAGCTTTGCAAACATAGAAATAAATTACTTTTTAAAATAATTAATACACATTTTCGTGTTGTCCCGCTTCACATTTGCTGAAAACAGTGGATGCATCAGAGTGAACAAGGTTAGTTCACTCTGAATGAAAACAAAAAAAAAACACATCCAGTCAGGCTGAGCCCTCCTAGAAGAACTGCAACGTAGCTAATAACTGGCCCTCATGAATTTCAAAGAGAGCTGTCTGCTTTCTTGGATTCACTTTATATTTTATGCTTCCTATGTTTATAAGTCATATTCACTATGAAAGCCACTTGTTTATTGTGAATATCAGGCTTGTGGATATAAAGTTAGAGACGCTTCTAGAGTCCTCCTTAAATCATTATGAAACTATAAGACTCACAAATAAGGTTTAAAGCAAATATGAGCATCACAATGTCTTCTGAGAAAATCATTATGTGCACTAGAGCCATCAAACTTCACAAAGACATAATTACCTCATTCCAAGCTACTTCACAGCTAATGAAACATTAAATTACTCATTATTTCACCACTTGTAATGATTATTAAGCTATGCTAACCAGGAGGAAATCAGCTTCAGACGAGCACAGGAGACAATGGTCACTGGTGTTAAGGATGCAAACCCACCAGCTGGCCTACCCAGCATCGCAATATGGCCAGCTCCCTGTAGTCCATGATCTTAGCTCCAAGATCAGAGACTCAATCTGTGGCAGACGTCCTATGTGGGACCGTCCACTATTTACTGAGGCCCAACAAAGCTGCTTGTTCTTCACGGGCTCCAAAGAGCACTGCAGATGGCATGGAGAGGCGAGCAGGACAGGCAGTGGAGCCTAACATCACGCCCCAGAAACCTTCCATTTGGATTTGCATCGAAAATCCATCCAATGGAGGATTTGAGATTCTCTCCAGGGATGAAGCCAAGCCTCCCCAATCAAAATAGTCTTACCTTGAATAAATAACTCAAAAACATTCAACGATGTAACAAACTCAAAGTTTGCGCAAATAAAAGTCTACTTTGAAGAGCATCTAGTTCTCAAAAGCTGGTTTTATCGATCACGAAAGCTCAAAAGAGAAAAAGTAGTAAATATTATCACATGTTTAATGTACTGAAGCACCACCAAGCAGATGCTGCAAATTTACCTTAAAGCTTCTGTGTACCACCACAGTAAACATTTCAATGGAAACAGCAACAGATTCTTCACACCCACCTCCACAATAAGTCTGCAGATGTTAACGCAAAAACCCCCCAAAAAAACATTTAATTGTCACTGATACTAATGAGCGTGTTCTACAAACACGTCAAACTTCTGGTTCGCACAATGTCAGCGGATAAACAAAAGTGATGACATTGTTAACAAGTCTATTGACTGAGTAATCACTATAAGGAATTTGGAAACATTACTTGGTTCTCTGTTGACAGCCTTTCCTGTAGTCAGATACCCTTGTCTGCATTCAGAAGGGGATTTCAAATTAGTCTCAAAGTATTTAATAATATGGCTGAGGTACAACAGATTCTAAATTATGTTACATCTCTGGCATACTGATCACTGTGCGTGGAAATGCAAAACTATGAACTTCCAATATTTGTTTTGCAAAGTGCTTTGCTGGGAAAATAAACTGCATCTAAAGTCGTGTTGCAACTATCACACATGTGAACGCAACCAGAATGCCCTCACTTTCAATAGAATATTTAAACTATCATGAGTTAAGCTGCCATTGTGAATGCTGAACACATTGCATAAAGTCAATTATACAAACTGAAATGTACAGTTGATTAAAATAGCTCTAAAGCTTGAAAAAAAAAACAGCTTTCAATAAGCTCATATGGCAACTGTGACAGGTATATGCACAACTAAACTATATTTACTTTAAACTCTACTTAACTATATATTTTTTTTTATAAATTATGAACCTGCCAGACACATTCATTCTCTTCCAAAATAATTTGAATGCTTCACATTACAATTTCCAAAATTCTTAAGTTGCAAATTCCCAAGAGGACTTAGAGGCAGGGTAAGAGACACAGAGAAAACCGAGCAGCTGCAAACCAATCTGCAGACACCTGCTGACGGCTGAAATGCATTAGAAAGGCCAATAGTACATATAATATCTTCTGCATACGTTGACACCATCATTCCATATCTTGAGCAACAGTGATCTAGATGAGGTCTGACAGATCACCGCAAACTTCAGAGACATGTGTGCATGAGGAAAAATATTCAAGCTTTCTTTGCCATGATACCATCATTTTTAAATCACTCTCTAGAGGCACAAAAACCGCACTCATGATTTATAGGCAAAGTATAACATCCCTGCAACCCACTGGCTACGGATTACAATATCTGCCTCCCATGTGTAAAAATCATCATCTGTGTCATGAAAAATTAAGCCATTTAGGAGGAAAAAGTGTGTTTCAGCCAAGCTATCGTCTGTTTTTGATAGTTCGACTCATAGCTGGAAGTTTAATTTCATGCAGCCGATTTTTTGCCATAAAAATGGCTTCAGCATGGGGCGTAACCAACAGGTTGCAAAAAGCAGACCCTCGAGTAAAGTAACATCAGCCCTCTTTTTCATGTTGTCAGACAAACACTCTGGATGTGAGTGCTTATGTGTGTGGATCAGGTAAAATCTGCCCTCTTTTTAACATGGTCTATTGACCCTGCTGCAATGAGCTTGTGCATTTTTGTTTCATTTTTTTATTTAAACTTCTGCTGAATGAATGCGCGTGTGTGTTATATTGCTGGATGCGAGGGGTGGGTGGTATACTGAATATTTACAATGTATTCAAAATTATATTAGTACGAATACAAAATGTACATTGTGACTTTGCAACAATGCATTTTTTATTTGCCCATTAAATTTACTAATGCATGGCAGCAGACTAGGTTTGTGGCCATCTTACAATTCATGCTTATTAGAGCATAAAGTATTTTAATGCCATTTTTTATTTAAACCTCATGATCAAAATATTGCACAACATTAGAATATTGGATGAATGGATGGACGGACGGACGGACGGAGACAGATAATTAAATACAATTATAAATGCATGCATACATACATAAATCTTTACACAACCACTCTACAAGAATGGATGTTCAGTCCACAGTATGGCCATTGTGACTGCAATAACTTCAGAGAAAAAAGATAAATATTTAGATATGTTATAGACACTTTCAGGCTGAAAACACCATATAACGTAGCCTCAGCCCTGATGATACACTGAGCGGAGATGATGCTGGAAGCGCCAGGTTCAATCCCAGCATCCTCACCATTAGAAACCAGATCCCGTGTTGAGCTCTTAACCTGCCCACTGAGGTGCTGTATTTTTAATGCTCCAAACCCTCTTACCCCCACTGACCTTCAACGGAATGAAAACATCTCCAGCTAATCTCTACTACTCCATATTAAGAAAACATGGGGCTTGTTTACACACGAGTGCATCTCTAACACATTGCTCTAGGCTTGAAATATTACAATTTGCAGTAAATATTGTCTAAAATTGCTCAACCATTGGTTTTATGGAGAACCGCAGCATATTAGAGTACATGGCTATTCGTAGTTTATAGAAAATGCCCTCGCAGCTAATCAAAAGTGTGTGAGTGTGTGTGGGTTTGCTTAGCTGCACTTCAAGAGCAAAACTGACCCAAAACCAGTTTATTCATTTTATTTTATTTTTATTTAAAGCTGCAAAAAGTTTTACTATTAAGAGAAGAGTAACTGCACTAGTAACTTCTTAATAAATAGTCTTAATAAATAAATCAACATTTATTTGTATATGCATTAATACAACAGAAATGTAAAAAAAACGTGTGTATGTGTGTGTAAATCTTGCAGTCTTGCAAAGTCAGCTCAGTAATTCCATTCTAGTTCTAGATGTCTGCTTTGGGTCCCTTGGCTCCAGGATGTCTGCGGCTCCTTGCTATTCCTGATACTCCACAGGTGTGTGTGTGTATAAGTATGTCTCTAAGTGTGTGTGTGTGCTCATGTCCTATTGGGTATCTGTAAACTGGTGCCTTTGATTATTTATGAGAACACCTAGCTGTGTGAGGTGATTTAGGAAAAGTGCTGCATTAATTTCTTGATTTATAGTTACTTTGGCTTCTGCATGACCTTAAAAATGCACAATAGAACACCGACAGATGCATAAAACTAAATTCAAGGTGATAAAATACATGTTGATTCATCGTCTGTGAATGACAAGGATGTGATAGAACTGCGTTCCAGTATTTCAAGGCCCTGTTCACTTAGAGGTCCGTCTTTTTAATATTCAACTTTAAGGCCATTTTGCGATGCTAATTATGCCAAAACTTCCATTGTTCAAGGTGATGCGTTGCCCAAGGTGAAGTGCCCATCATTTCTCATTTCAAACTCCCATTGCATGACAGAAGGAGCTTCATAATTACTTCTGCCGAAAAGGCCAGAACTGAGTCACAAGGTTAATTGATTTCAGTGATATGATGTGTATTTGTATGTGAATAAAATACTGCAGGCAGTTTGGAACAAAGCAAAAGTAAAAACCGAAGAGGACTTAAAGGTCAAGCTGAAGAAGCTGCGTCTATGAAACCTGCGACGTCTGCACTGCTTCATACTCACAACAGTGCTTTGCGTTCGGTGGCAACATTTCCGCCTATTGTCCTGTCCTTCCGCCTCAAGTCATATTCCATGGTGTTCCAACTAAATCGGCAAAGCCACGGAGTGTGGAACACACCTTGATTGATTTAGCTTTAAAGTCTGCTGATAGCGCAGTGAGAGAACAAGGTAAAGAGGATGAGAATGAGAGAGAAAAAAATCCATGAGAAACCACAAGAGGAGTAACGCTAAATATAGGAAATACCGCCAAATCTGTGAAGCAAGTAATTGTTTTCCACGACACATGTTGAAACAGATGATCAATCAGTGGGAGACCCCCAGAACTGTGACATTCATCTCAAGCGAGCGTTTTGAAAATATTTACAAGGAGAACAAAATGTAATTTGCACTCATTGATGAATCGTCCCTCCCTCACGAGCAAACTTGACGTTCCCTAGAGCTCCATGACTCATTTCCGTCACTAAATGGATTGTTTAATCATTTCTGAAGTGTGTCACACAGAATATTTTCCTTACTATAAAAATAGTTCTGTATTTTAAAAATGTCCCAAGATATCTGAAATAAAACACACAAAAGCAACTAATAAACTAGAATTTTCCATCTTACAGGAAAGGCAAATCTAGTGAAAAATAAATATACTTAAATGTATTTGAAACATTTATTTCATACCAAGTATACTACAAATACATTTTCATATTTATGTACTTAATAAAATGCCCTGCAATTGTACTTTTAGTATACTAAACTGGTATACTTCAAAGACTGCTAAACTGGAACAACTAATTTTGTACTTAATGCACTTTAATTGTGCGGAAGTAGTGCTGAAGTCCAACTAAAGATACTGAAGTATATTTGATTGTGCTAAAGTGGAACTGTTGCAAGTATACTTTAAATATTTTGCATTTAAAGACAGATATTATTCAAAGATCATACAATCCTCATCAAAAGTGACATTAAAACACATTTTAGGCTTAATATTAAGAAATGTGCATTGTGCACAAGTAGTACGCCAAGTTTGTATGAGCAAGTCTCGAGTTATCTGTCAGTAAATATGTTAATAGATCTGAACTATACTTAGTATGAAATAAATGTATTTTAAATATATTACTTTTTTACTAGGGAAACCACTGAGGAAATTGTAATCTCAATTTTGATTGTTTTCTTCTTTCTCCCATGATATTAATTGGAGAGAAAATTTAGACTTTTGCTTTTAAGCTCCATGCTTTTCAGATTTTTCCACTGAGAGAGAAAAAATTAATCTCACATCTCCTCTAAAGTTTACCAAAAGTTGAAAACTTGAATTTACCAACATATACAATTAAACATCAACAGTTTAGATTTGATCTCAAACATTTCTCATCAAAGTCTCTTCAAAAAACAAACAATGTGCTATGATCCACATTCAATGTATAGCTCTAAAACTCTTGCACTCTACATTGTGCATTATCAATGTTCTTGTTTGTGTCTATTGACATTTTAAATAATTATGAGAATTAAAACAAACAAAAGCTGATATTTATAACAAGTATGAGAATCATACAAAATTCTTGAACTTTAAAGAATGACCTCTGAACAATAAAAAAGTCCTCTAGAGATTACAAGAAGAGAAGGCTTGTGAGTAATTAAAGGAAAAATCTCAAATCTGATACATAAATATTTCTGAGGATCACAAAAGTCATAGAAGTCTCAATCTATGAAAGAACAACTAAGCATGTATTGTTGATTTACTGTTTGCTTTAAAAAAAATGATTCAAATGATTAGGCTTTTACTTATTTTACCTAATGGTCATTCTCAGAACTTCATTTTAGTTTCCTGAGCTTTGAACAAGCAATTTATGAGCAATAAATATCTAATCTAAGTAATCTAAGTAATCAATCTATCTATCTATCTATCTATCTATCTATCTATAGCCTTCAGCTCGTCTGTATTGTTGGATCGACTGTTTCTCATCTTTCTATTGAAAATACTCCATAGATTCCTTATGGGGTTCAGGTCAGGCATGTTGGCTGGCCAATTAAGCATAGTAATATCATGGTCAGCAAACCACTTGGAAGTGGTTTTTGGCACTGTGGGCTGGTGCTAAGTCCTGCTGGAAATGGAAATCAGCATCTCCATATAAAGCTTGTCAGCAGATGGAAGCATAAAGTGCTCCAAAATCTCCTGGTAGATGGCTGCATTGACTTTGGACTTGATAAAACACAATGGACTAAGTCCAGCAGATGTCACGGCACCCCAAATCATCACTGACTTCAGAAACTTCACACTGGACTTCAAGCAGCTTGGATTCTGTTCCTCTCCAATCTTCCTCCAGACATTGATTTCCAAATGAAATGCAAAATTTACTTTTATCTGAAAAGAGGACTTTGGACCACTGAGCAACAGTCCAGTTCTTTTTCTCCTTAGCCAAGGTAAGATGCTTCTAACATTGTTTCTGTTTCAGAAGTGGCTTGGTAGCCCTTTTCCTGAAGACGTCTGAGCATGGTGACTCTTGATGCACTCACTCCAGCTTCAGTCCACTCCTTGTGAAGCTCTCCCATGTGTTTGAATCAGCTTTGCTTGACAGCATTCTCAAAGCTTGCGGTCATTCCTGTTGCTTGTGCACCTTTTCCAACCCAAATTCTTCCTTCCGGTCAACTTTGCATTTAATATGCTTTGATACAGCACTCTGTGAACAGCCACCCCTTTCAGTAATGACCTTCTTTGACATACCCTCTTTGTGGAGGGTGTCAATGACTGTCTTCTGGACCATTGCCAAGTCAGCAGTCTTCCCCATTATTGTGGTTTCAAAGAACAAGAGATACCCGGAATTTATACTGTAGGGCAAAATTATTGGAACACTAGTATTTTCTCCAGCTAAAAAATGTTTTTTAAGACAGTTATCTTTTGCTGTAGTGTGTCATTTCCAAACATTCATTTTGCCATTAATTGTAATAATCCAGTGAGGTTTTTGTTTGCACAAGGAGTCTGACAACAGCCAGTGCTCCACACAGAGATCTGATCTCATCATCATCCAGTCTGTCTGGAATGACATGAAGAAACAGAACAAACTGAGACAGACTCAATCCAGAAGAACTGTGGCAATGTCTCCAAGATGCTTCAATAATCCTAAAAAAAAGCTACCTGAAAAACTATGTGCAAGTGCACCTAGGGACAAAGCTGCTTTAAACGCAAAGGATGGTCACACCAAATGTTGATTTAATTTAGTTAATAGAAGTTAATTGATAAAGAAAATCTATTTATGACATTATCTTTTGACAGCATCCCCATTTTTGCACAAGTGGCTAAAACTTTTAACAGCACTGTGGCTTCGCAGGTAGGGTTCTATCTATCTATCTATCTATCTATCGGACCATTGCCAAGTCAGCAGTCTTCCCCATTATTGTGATTTCAAAGAACAAGAGATATTTATACTGTAGGGATGGTCATTTAATGAAACACAAATGTAAACATTCTAATATTTTGAGATACTGTTTTTTTACTTTAAAAACAAACAAAAACACTTTTGAAATGTTTAACTTTACATGTAATGAATCTAGAATATATGAAAGTTATTCACGATATTCACGAAAAAAAAAAGATATTTCACGATATTCAAATTTTTTGAAATGCACCTGTATATTAGGGCTGTCAGTAAATTAAAATCTTTATAGGGTTAGTTCACCCAAAAATGAAAATTCTGTCATTAATTACCAGTGGTGGAAAGAGTACTGAAAAAATATACTCAAGTAGATTTAATTTAGTTAATAGAAGTTAATTGATAAAGAAAATCTATTTATGACATTATCTTTTGACAGCATCCCCATTTTTGCACAAGTGGCTAAAACTTTTAACAGCACTGTGGCTTCGCAGGTAGGGTTCTATCTATCTATCTATCTATCTATCTATCTATCTATCACACACACACACACACACAAACTACAGCAAGGAATTGTGTTAATGAAACACAAATGTAAACATTCTAATATTTTGAGATACTGTTTTTTTTTACTTTAAAAAACAAACAAACGTTTATTAAATAGAAGTATCATTTGTGTTTGTTTTTACTTTTCATAAAGAATTTCCAGAGAAAACATGCACAGTAGAAGTTTAAAAAGTTTATTTTTTTTTCATTGGAGAATCACCATGAAGTCTCCAGAGCTTTAAAAAAGCAACTTCTGAGCAATAAAGACGTCCTCTGGGATTTCAGGAAGATTCCTGGAAACAGGATCCTTCCCCAAAACAAACCTTGACGTGTGAATAAGACATCTTTCACACAGCTTCTCACCAGCGCGGTGACAATTAAACCTGACAAAAATTGACAAATGAAAGGCAAGTGTGGCAATTCAGCCCAACAACTGTACACTGTGACATCAGCCTAAGCTTACAGTGAAAAGAAAAATGACATGGTGCAGTATGACATCAAACCAAGCAGAGACATGGAGGGGTCAGGAACGCTCTCTAGGTGATGAGAGAGAAGAGGTGAATTCTCACACTGCTGGAGCGACCGCAGCCCTCAGAATCTCACATTAAGGCAGTGATTTATTGGCTTTGTCAAGAGCAGCTGTTGCAGGGAGACAATAGGGCTCGCAGGAGCTTACTTAGAGGAAGGATGCTCTCAGCATATAATAAAACAAGGATCACACCTTCTACCATCTACCTCAGGGCTTTGACCCAGACTAGAGCATCTTTTTTGGGAGAGGATGGCTAAAACTAAAACTTTTATTGTTTTCATCAAAACGAAATAAAGCTGAAATAAAATAAATGTGAAAACATTATAATTTAATAATAACTTGCAACTTTAAGTTGAAGAACTAAAATAACTAAAAATAAAACTAAGATAAATAGAAAATAATGTAAAAAAAAACTGAAAAATTACAAATTTAAGCTAAATTAAATACATTTTAAAATAGGAATAAATTGTGTAATAGAATATAAAAAAGCACAAAAAAATCATAATATTACACTTAAGTGTTTATTTTGGCAAAAGCGACAAGCGACAACACATTTTGTTTCTGCATGCTGTTTAGGAAGTTTTGGTTTATCCAAAAGAGTTGATACTAGAGCCCGACCGATATGGGTTTTTTGGGGCCGATACCGATATTAGGGAGTAAAAAATAGGGAGATATCGATATATCGGCCGATATTCTTTGTGTATATTATAGTACAGTACCAGTCAAAAGTTTGGACACTTTCCCATTCGTGTGTCCAAACATTTGACTGGTATTATATATAGAATACAGTATATACATAAACAGAATAAATATACATAAACACATTTTTTGCAATGATCACTCAAGTTGGTAATCAAACACTTACAATGACGTGACAAAGGTATGTAATGATGGAGGCAGTTTAACAATTAACTTTATCCAAAATCAGTCTGACATCAGTGCACTGAACAGTAAAGTGAACAGTAAAGTTGAAGTTTATTCAACTTTAATTAAATTCAATTCCATTCAACCAATTCTGTTGAAGTTTATTTCACTTCGGAACATTCATTCACGAATTTGCGCTACTGTCTTCACACACAGATGAAACTTACTAGAGAAGCGTGAAGTGTGACATAATATACCTCTGTAAATAAATATAAATTCACGTCTCGCGCACTTTAATGCCCTTTGAATTAGAGACCTGCACTCCCGCGGGACCCAACGCAACAGGGTGTGGTGCGGGACAACTCTTGATGGGCGAGTGTGGGTGCGGGTGGGAAGAGACTCGTGTGTGTGCGGGATGCGGGAGAATAAAATGATTTGCGGGACTCCCGCAAAATAGAAATTATCTAAACAAAGTGTCTAAAACATATAAATTGTTATTTATCTGTTGCACAAAAGCAATAAGAACAACTAATATTAACATTAAAATGATTGACATGCGCAAGCTAGGCATAGTTTCTATTTATAACACGTGTTTAAAAGGTTGTGCAATGTAGCCAATCACAGACTCAGCTGTTGATTTCTGGAATGCAATGGCCAATCAGAGGTGATTAAGTTAGAATCTACTCACCGCAGTGCTGAAATTGCATGCTCACTAATCCTCTCATTTTAACACATGAAGTGTAGACACTGAAAGATTCATTGTGCATATATTTAATGTGATATAACAGAGCTTTATGAGATCGTGATTAACTGAGATGTCAGTTTTAGTGATAATAAAGGAAGCACACTGCTCGCATTCTGCCATGCCAAACCATGCACGCAGCAGCACATGCTTGCTTTTCTGTTAAAAATAACAGTGGTTTGTGAATGTTGATGCTTAGCCTAAATAACAAATATTTTATCGGAAGTGTTTATGCTGGTATGTTGTGGAGCTTAGGAGATATTACAGAACCATTTTATGTACATTTCTTCGATGTATTGAAAAAAAATCTATATAGATTACTTTTATGCGGGCTTTTGCGGGCGGGAGCGGGACAAAACATGAATGTCACGGGCGGGAGCGGGACCAGATAAGATATATTTCTGCAGGAGCGGGCGGGCGCGGGACAGAATCTTGCGGGAGCGGGACTGAAAAATCCATCCCGCACAGGTCTCTACTTTGAATGTAACGTGTATGGAATCATGGCGGAATATCATGTGAAGTCCACTTCGCAGGACACTTACGGTCAAATAAGACAACGCTTGAATGCTGCTGCCTGAACAAGAGACCTCCTTATTGAAGTGAAAGTGTTGGCTGGTGTCACTATCTCACGAACTGGCGGATCTCCACCAAATTCAGGGGATCCCTTCAGATCGAGGAGCCCTCTCGAACGCCACCCTCTGCGCGTCGGTAGCCCCCCGGGATCGCTAGATCAGTCGGTGTCGGACTGCGAATTTAACCACCCATAACTCCCGAACCCCGGGGGCTATCGACGCTGGGGTGGTCTCATTCGAAAGAGGGCCTCAAGACGTACACTCGATTCGCGTTCGAGAGGGTTCCTCGAGCTGAAGGGATCCACAAATTTGGTGCGGATTCGCCACGCCTTTTGCAGAGATATGGTCGTTCAAAGTTTCAATGGTTTTCCATAGACTTTAAAGCGTTTCATTCAGGTCGCCAGTAGCAAACAATGGAGCACGCTCTGCAGGACAAACTAAGTAATTACACCATTTCAAGCATTTTATCTGCGTTATATTTTCTGTAAAAAAAAAAAATTACTATCGGTGGCATATTCGCCTATACCGATATAACGATATATCGTTTAGGGGTGGGAATCACCAGAGGCCTCACGATACGATATTATCACGATACTTGTGTCACGATACAATACTATTGCGATATTCTGCGATATATTGCAATTTATTACCTTTTTCCAACTTCAAATTATGTCCCCAAAGGAAAACTTTGACAACATCTGTTTTAACTAAAAAGCAACATTTCTCAGTTTGTTTATCTCACTTCAGTTTTATTGTTGCAGTGCAAAATGGGATTGTAAAGCAGACAAACACTTTCATGAAAACCTGTCATAAATGTTGTATCCACCTGGCAAACTCAACTATTTGTATTACAGTCAATATCTAGTCCACCTTAATTAAATGTAAACAGGTATGCACTGCTGTGCTACTACAGGTATTTTGAACAATGCAACTTGAAATTGTACTAAAAAGTTGTGCAGACCCTTTAGCAATTGGGGCATTTGAAAGTAAATTACTGTTAAATTTAAATTAAATTAAATAAAACATGTAGTCTTACATCTAGGGACGCACCAAAATGAAAATTCTGGGCCGAAACAGAAACCGAAAATTCTGGATGCAATTTGCCCTGAAAACCGAAACAGCTTTGTAATGATTATTTATTATATAATATAAAGTTATTTTGTAAGACTTTTTAAATTGAACTCAATTTTAATGATACTGAATAAAAAAAAAACGCAAGCCAATAAAATAACCACACTTTTACTGAAAGTAACAATAAAAATTGACAGAATTTATATTAATATTGGTAATACTTTACAATAAGGTTCATTAGTTAACATTAGTTAACTACTTTAGATAATGAACTAAGAATGAACAATAGTTCTTCAGAATTATTAATCTTAGTTCATGTTAATTTCATGTTAATGTTAACATTTACTAATGCATTATTAAAATCAACAGTTGTGCTTGTTAACAGTTAATGCACTCTGAATTGACATTAACTAACAGTGAATAACTGTATTCTCATTAACTAACATTAATAAAGTTTAATAAATACTGCAATAAATGTATTGTTCATTGTTCGTTCATGATAGTTAATACATTAACTAACATTAACTAATGGAACCTTATTGAAAAGTGTTACCTTAATATTAAATATCAATATATTTTATTCACTTCTATGTAACCGAATGAGATGTTTTTTTTTTTTTTACTAATTATCCAAATAATGTAGTCCTACAAAGCTATTATCATCAGAGCATAAGAGCAGAGCATAGCGTCACTGAAGGTAGCATCATTTTAGCAGCGTTGCCCAGTATGTTACAGCACAGTAGTGCTACTGCAAACTGGAACAAGTACACTGCATATAAATTTCCTGTCAGCGCGTTATTTGAGCGGACTTTGCTTTTCCGGTGAGCATGAGCGGTACACGAGCAGTGCATGAGCGGAACGCACATTCATAGATCGGAATACTGAGCGGAGCCTCAAACCGCGCAGTGACGAGGAGAGTGAAACATACGCGCTGAACACTGCCGGGCAGGGCACGATGCAGCGCGCCATATATTATTATTATTAGGCTATTATATGTAGGTAACACTAATTTTACATAGAGCACACAGTGAAAATTACATGAATAGGACAGTGGGCAAATGCATAAAGCGCAGCATAATTTGAAATCACTAATTTAATGTTTAAAGCATTCAATTTGCACGGACCAAAAGTCACGCAGAGAACACGCGATCATGCAGGTCAAATGCACACTTCACAAGATCTCACAACTGGATTCGACCAAGTTTGCAAGGTTTGTGAAACTAAATTTTCATTAGCCATTCAAAGATTTGTTTAAATTATGTAAATGAGTGTTTGCTGAATGTTGACGGCAAATGAGAAAGTATTGTGTTTGCCTTTCTATTACTAATAATATAAAAGCAATCGTTATAATTAGGGACGCACCGATACCACTTTTTTCAGTACTCGCCCGATACCGATACTTTTATTTTTGGTACTTGCCGATACCGAGTACCAATACCAATATTTTTATTGCATTTGTAAATTTTTTAAATATTGGGTACAGAAACAAAAAGAGTATGTATAATGTTAGTTGGTTAACTTCACTTATCAAATAGATACAATCAAACCAAAATGTATTTAGACACCTTCAACATTTCTCCCATTATCACAGTTTATTCGCTATAGTTTAGAAAATGGTAATAAAATATAACAAGAACTCAGAGTTAAACGGAGTCAGAACAAATTCAGCTTGATAATGTTAGATAATATGCCCATTAAAATGTATTTTACAAGTTTTTGTTACTTTCACTGTTCATTTTTTACTCTATGGTACATCAGCTTTAATTTAATAGCATTAGAGCTGCTTCATTGCAGTGGCTTAGTACTGTAATCACGCGCTTTGCTGTAATAATGCAGGGAACCACTCCTAACTGTGATATTTTCAGAATAAATAGTTATAAATCACAGTTATAAATCTCCTAACTGTGATATTTTCAGAAATAGAAGTCACGTTTTTTTTCATCTGAAACATGCTGCGATTTATATTCCAAAGCCACTCATATAATGCAGAAACGCTCCAGCAAGCAAAACACGCGCGTATTTGTACTGATGCAGAACAGTACAGCCTAGCGCATTTCACACAAGCTGTTAGATTCCTAAGGTTAAAAATAAATGACATTTATAGTGAATGCCCCTATAAATGGTCTTATTTTTACGATTTAGTTTTAATCCAAATGATGCGTGTGCTAAGGGAGTGAACATCAAAGATCACACAACAGAAGTGCATGCTCTCTCTCTCTCTCTACCGTTAAGTAACTTGTGCATTGTTTTACTTACTTGTTTTTGACGTATCCGACCGAACTACAAACTTTCCAGAGATGTCTGTGAGAAAGGTATATTCACTCGACAAGCTTTTTGCATCTGCGCCGCCGCGCGCTCAATCCACTCAGCGCGCTTTGTTTATCAGCTCGCGCACATCAGCTATACAGGCATTAATACTGAATGTTTGACATTATATTCATTGCATACATATACTTCGTAGACATCCTTAATCTCTAATAACTCCATTCTGCTGTCTGTTGTTCTGTTGTCGGTGTTTCATTGTCTGAATATGGCACTTATCACATGCTGTGTGGTATCGGCGTTTGGTATCGGGGCATTTTAACGAGTACGAGTACAGGAGCTCAGTATCGGGCCCGATACCGATACGTGCATCCCTAGTTATAATACTTTTTGTATACATTTTAATACCTTCGTTTAACAGTTCTATCGTATTATTAGACAGATTTCCATCCGTTTTAGACAGAACTGTTACCGACGGCGAACAAGGAGAATATGAGCACTCTGTGCTCAGGCACTGCCGCTCTCAGCGCCGCCAAAATAAAAGTCCCACCTCGAACGATAATCCATTACATTAGACAGAACTGTTACCGACGGCGAACAAGGAGAATATGAGCACTCAGGCACTGCCGCTCTCAGCGCCGCCAAAATAAAAGTCCCACCTCGAACGATAATCCATTACATTACACATTTTAGGTAATATAACTAAATGGCAACTACTTTTTAATTACTTTGATTACTTTTGACCAAAGTCGTTTATCACATTGATTTTAATAGGATAATGTATTACCATATTGACACAAATACAAGTATAAATACTAAATACCATTCTGTACCATATTAATATAAAAACACAAGAAAATATATTCCATTCATTGTAAATAACAACATGAAGTGCATTAAACATTACATTATGTCAAGGTTTTGTAAATGAACTGCAGAAGCTTTGTGAGTTTAATGAAAAGCTAATAATATTTACTTAAAATAAGTAATTTTAGAATAACATTAATCAAAATAAAACACTAGTTGAGCAGAGCAGCACTTTAACTGAGCTCATTTGGAGTTTGAGATGGGACACAAAAGTGAGGAAGTGTGCAGCACATGACTGCTGTGCCGTAATCTGCGCTTCAGTGCCTGCGTACCACCACAAACCCAAGTGCAAGGATCGGGCACAGAAGGTGTGAGCTTTCACAGGCGGATGTATTTAACTCTTCCTGAAAATGTTGGTAATTGGAGCCGTTGTCAAAACGCAAGTCAGAAAAGTAAAGTGGTGAGAGTTTAATCTGGGCCAGCGGCTTCAGATGTGCAAATCTGGCACTCTGCCTGGGGTCCAAACGCAATCCCAACTGCATTTTAATGAACAGCTGCTACGCATTCCCCCAGCCCCTCCTCCCCTCCCCTCTTTCTCTTGTTGTCTGTCTGTTTCTCCTCTACTCAATGATCTATGATAGAGTTTATAATACATGCACATGGACAGGCATTGCTATCTCGTCAGATCATTAAAATAAGTCACTTTAGAGAAGACCGACTGAACACCCACTTCCTCAACTTCCTCAAGTTTATTTTCAGCTTCTGTCCATTTCACAATTACGTACACAAGTGTGTCACAGAAAGCAGCAAGGACACTCATTACTCAAGGGAAAACTCTTGAAAGTTTTGAAATAGCAGAGGAGCCCCACATGCATGAAAGAGGTTGAGAGAGGTTGACTGTACAGAACTGAAGAAGCCCTTGACCAGATGGAGGTGGGAGAGTGTGAAAGAAAGGAGACGAGGATCATTAAAGGGAGACAGAGAGGCTGATGGAGTGTTTAATGATGGGATGGATTGTAACTGCAGATTCATGTGCCGATATGAATTGCTGAGTTGAAACGTTTGGTACTTAATATTCATTAAATGTGCAATACAGCGGATAAATCTCCATTATAAGGAGGTGGTGTAGACTAGGGATGAAGATTAGGGCTGCCTCCTCTAGAGTCGTATCCTGTGTCCTTGAGCTACTGTATCACTACTGTACTTGTGTGCTAGTCTTACAAAAACAAAACAAAAAAATCTAAAAATTAAGATTCTATGGCATCACTCATAATGTCAAAAGTTCATGAAAATTCAAGAAAATTGTTTATCACTACATTATTTGCTTCCATTACATTTCAAAAATTGAAGAACTAAGAAAGGTGCGTATATCAGAGTTGGGTAGTAACTGATTACATTTAATCTGGATTATGTAATCAGGTTCCAAAAATGAAGTACTTTTAATTAGATTAAATTACATTTTAAAATACTCGTAATCTACGGTTACTTTTTTATGGATTACATAATTACATATTATTCACACAGTGGCAACAAATTATTCATAATTAATTGATTCTCCCTAATTCCTCTTTTAAATATTCCTTTCTAAAATAGGATATCGTTAATATACATTCAGAAAGTCTTCCGGTTTTGTGGACATTCACACAAAGAATGCACAAGTTCACGTTCTTTCTTATTTACATGTAATGCAGGCATTCCCAAACTTTTTTTGGCAGCTGAACAGCTTTCACCTAATATATTTAATTGAAGGACCATGAGATTTTAAAATAAATATTTTAATAATTAAGTATCACATTTGCATGTTCATGGTTCTCTGTTGGTTAATGGTCACATTACATGCAGGTCAAATTTTTTTTTTTAAGTGTTTTATTTTGATTGTTATTTTAAAATTACTTATTTTAAGTTTACATTTTTACAATTTAAGGAATTATTAGCTTTTCATTAAACTCACAAAGCTTCTGCAGTTCATTTACAAAACCTTGACATAACGTAATGTTTAATGCACTTCATGTTGTTATTTACAATGAATGGAATATATTTTCTTCTTGTGTTTTTATATCAATATGGTACAGTATGGTATTTAGTATTTATACTTGTATTTGTGTCAATATGGTAATAGATTATCCTATTAAAACCAATGTGATAAACGACTTTGGTCAAAAGTAATCTAAAAGTAATTAAAAAGTAGTTGCCATTTAGTTATATTACCTAAAATGTGTAATGTAATGGATTATGCTACTAACTACAAATTTTGGAATGTAATTTGGAATCAGTAAAAGACTAAAATATCTAAGTAATTTTCCCAGCTCTGATGTAGGTAATATATTCTTTACTTTTTTTGAAAGAAGTCTTGTATGCTCAACAAGGCTGCATTTATTGGATCAAAAATTGAGTAAAAGTATAGTAATACTGTGAAATATTATTGCAATTTAAAATAACTTTTTCATTTTAATATATTTTAAAGTGCAATTTATTCCTGTGATAGCAAAAGCTGAATTTTCAGCAGCCATTACTCCAGTTTTCAGGGAAACATGATCTTTCAGAAATCATTCTAATTTCCCCCCAAAAAAGTAATGAGTACTGATTATTTCACGGTCATAACTGTAAAATGTGTAATGTAATGGATTATGCTACTAACTACAAATTTTGGAATGTAATTTGGAATCAGTAAAAGACTAAAATATCTAAGTAATTTTCCCAGCTCTGATGTAGGTAATATATTCTTTACTTTTTTTGAAAGAAGTCTTGTATGCTCAACAAGGCTGCATTTATTGGATCAAAAATAGAGTAAAAGTATAGTAATACTGTGAAATATTATTGCAATTTAAAATAACTTTTTCATTTTAATATATTTTAAAGTGCAATTTATTCCTGTGATAGCAAAAGCTGAATTTTCAGCAGCCATTACTCCAGTTTTCAGGGAAACATGATCTTTCAGAAATCATTCTAATTTCCCCCCAAAAAAGTAATGAGTACTGATTATTTCACGGTCATAACTCTGGGGGAAAAAAAGCAGTTGATTATACAGATCAGCTTGAGGATATTGCTACTACGTGCCTCAAACAAAAGACCCTTGAGGTGATTATTGCAGCAGCTTCATACCCTGTAAACATGACTTGTCAAAGTCAAACTGATAAAACAAACCTGTGCACACTTGACTCATGAATTAATTATGCAGCAGTCAGCCAATTACAATGAAGCTTATAATTTTGGACACTACTTGACACTTTTCTGTGTGCACTGCATTTCAGCGGGTCCATGATGTCCTGCAGGCACCGCGCCCTGAGGCTGAGACTTGAACCCAGGCCGCTCCAGGGGAACTGTCTGTGGGCCTGGTGGGTAATAAACGTGCTCTGTCATGTCATGTGGCAGTGCTTGTGTGCAGGTGCATTTCTGATCAATCTACCTGGTGTTTCCCGTCTACTCTCCCACTATATTCTTGTTCTAAAATATAAATTATTTGGCTACATACACTGTCAGAAAAAAAAAAGCACAGAAAATTTCCCTTCAGGGGTTCAACAGCTTGTCACTGGGGCATATTGGCCAAAGTGACAGTAAAGTCTTTTACACTGTCCCAAAAAAATACACATTTGGAGTTTGAGCTGGAACACAGAAGTGAGGAAGTGTACAGAACATGACTGCTGTGCTGTAATCTGCGCTTCAGTGCTTGCGTACTAGGGCTGTGCGATTAATCGAAATCGAATCGAAATCACGATTTGAGACGTTTGCGATTTCCTAATTGCATAGTCTGCGATATGGACGCGATATTACTCTGTTCCAGAGCATATGCATGACTGCCAGCCTTGAGTTGCAGTCTTACTAACCAATAGAGTGAGCACACCTCCGTTCTCCCCAATCAGCACTGCTCTAGCCAACTGCGTAAACACCCACCATTAAAAAAACAACAACAACAAAAAACAGAAAGTGGGACGGGAGAGAGACAGAGTGGGATTATGGCGTCTACTGGGTCAGATCGATAGTTAGGCAAATTAAAACTAAAGAAAACCGTATGCAATTTGAGCTTCGAAATGACAGACAACGAACAAAAAAGGTAATCTGCAAGAGCTGCGTCACAGCGCATATCAAGAGCTCCCTTATCGGTTCTGGTTTCAGTACTGGAGAATAAAAGATACATTCTTAGATGTTTTTGTTAGTACGTGAACGTTATCTTACACATTTTCTCTCCCCAACAGATTAATTTGAAATAAGTTTATAATGCATGTTGGCTATTCCCAATTCAGAAGAGCGCACACACAGCCTGTGTCTGTGAATGCTTCTCATCCTCGCCCCTCTCTGCCCCACGCGGTGCTAATCCCGAGTCACGGACAAGCCGTTCATGCTTGCCCGTCTCGTAATGCTCGTTTATACTCGCACCCGGCTCCGCACTGCAAGTTTCCACGAGCGCATCTGGCAGTATGGACGAGGCTTGACGCACGCGCGCAACCTGTGTTGACTCGCGCCTGGTTCCGCGTTTAAAACAAATGTAAATTCAGTCTAACTGCTTTGCTAATTTCACTTGGATGAAATGAAACATTCAGCACATTTTCCACTTGTTCTTAAAATCCCAAATACTTAAAATGAATAAATCAGCCTATGTAACACTTTAATAATTGACTTAATACAGTTCATTTATAAAAAAATAAACAAATATTAATAATGATACCCATACTGTGCTGCACATTATTGACAATATTGAGCTGAAGCTTGACTTTGCAAATGTAAAATTGCAAATCAAATCACAATATTTGTCAAAAAAATCGCAATTTGACATTTTCCCCCAAATCGCACAGCCCTACTGCGTACCATCACAAACCCAAGCACAAGGATTGGGCACAGAGGGTGTGAGCTTTTACACAGGCGGATGCATTTAACCCTCCCTGAAAATGTTGGTTATTGGAGCCGTTGTCAGAACCCAAGTCAGAAACGTAAAGTGGTGAGAGTTTAATCTGGGCCAGATGGCTTCAGATGTGAAAATCTGGCACCTTTATGCACTAAAGTGTGCATAAAGGTACATATTAGTACATACTGACCAAAGTGACAGTAAAGTCTTTTACACTCTCCCAAAAAAAATAAAATAAATAAAAATAAATGAATGAATAAAAAAAGCTTTAAAAATGCTACAGTTGCAACAAATAAGAATTTGCACCAACTTTCAGAATCAGCAACTTGTGAAAATCACGAATTAAAACAATATATATACAAAACAATATTTCTGTGTATAGTGCATATTTCTGCTTACTGGAGAATTCCCCTGTTATTGAACATCAAAACCATGATAACACCAAATATATTAAAATCAACCGAGTCAATTCTCCAGAGCTGAGCACTATTTGTGTGGCTTGTAGAGCTGCTTTGTAGAGTGTTTGAAGAGAATCACTCACTTATTATGGTTTCATGAAAATTAGGATGTTGCCTTAGAAAACAGCTGCTTACTGTATACAGACAGCTTAGTAGGTTTTGGAACACAGCTAATCTGTCAATAAAAAGGCCAACAACATACAGCATGAAAAAGTTTGTCATGTCACGATTCTCTTATCATATAGTCCTTCTCTATCCCTCTCCTTCATGTCCTTGTATTCTCTTTTACACTCTCCCAAAAAAAATAAAATAAATAAAAATAAATGAATGAATGAATAAAAAAAGCTTTAAAAATGCTACAGTTGCAACAAATAAGAATTTGCAACTTGTGAAAATCACGAATTAAAACAATATATATACAAAACAATATTTCTGTGTATAGTGCATATTTCTGCTTACTGGAGAATTCCCCTGTTATTGAACATCAAAACCACGATAACACCAAATATATTAAAATCAACCGAGTCAATTCTCCAGAGCTGAGCACTATTTGTGTGGCTTGTAGAGCTGCTTTGTAGAGTGTTTGAAGAGAATCACTCACTTATTATGGTTTCATGAAAATTAGGATGTTGCCTTACAAAACAGCTGCTTACTGTATACAGACAGCTTAGTAGGTTTTGGAACACAGCTAATCTGTCAATAAAAAGGCCAACAACATACAGCATGAAAAAGTTTGTCATGTCACGATTCTCTTATCATATAGTCCTTCTCTATCCCTCTCCTTCATGTCCTTGTATTTGCACATGAGCAGTCTGATTTCTCCTCCATCACATAATCTGCCAGAAGCACTTTTGCTATTTTCATTCACACAAAACCTTGTCCATCTTTCACATTGTCTTATTGATTGATTGTGCACATAACAGTGATGTGTACAAGGGAATAACTCCCTTATAACTATTGTGTTGGAGAGGGGGGAAACATCACGTGCATATTGTGTGTCTATGAGTGTCTATGCATCAACATGCAGTACTAAAGTTCATCGACCACACCGCCTCACTTTTCTCTGGGGTGGCCATCAGCCTTACATTTATAGTTATGTCTAAACACACAACAGCAAAACTGTGCACCATGTTGCCAACAAGCCTCAAGGTTACAGGAGGTAGCAGCACTCTAATGCAGCCATGTACTCTCACTCCAGTCTCACTGCTCTGGCCCCGAGGGTGAGGATTGCAAAGTCAGTTGCATCTTCAGCCACCATTACTATTCCAATCTTTACTCCAGAGTATCTGAAGTTTTTCCCAATGCACTCCACAGATTTCCTTTACAACTTAACATGATTAGAAGATCAGATGCAACACAGGTCAATTTCACGAAAACATTTTTCTACAATTTAAAGACCAATTAAGATGTATTGTGTTATAATAGTTAAAACTAAAACCACAAAATCTTTGAAATAAAATAACTTTTAACTGAAATAAACTAATTTAAAAAACAGTTTTAAATTTTATTTCAGCAGTCGCCACGGCAACATTTCTCATTTTCATTTATTTTATCAAGATGCTCTAAAATAACTACAACTGAAATAAAATGAATGAAAACTACAGTATATATATATATATATATATATATATATATATATATAAAAAAAAATTACTAAAACTTTAAAATTAAAATGAACAATTTAAAACAGAAAATATCAAAATACAAACTAATTAAAAATATTAATACAAACTAATAATATATCAGTGATTCTAACATTACCCTATATTGTACTGACAAAGTTTTTTTCCCTTTTTTAAATTCTTATTATTTTTAGTGGTGATTCTTATTACATTATCATTGCTGTAACTGCTTTTTTTTATTTTTTAAAATGGAGAAACATTACTATGATGTATAAACACTTCGCAATTTAATGTACAGTATAGCATATATATGTCAACGTGTCAACTCAACCAGTTTTGATTTTGCTTTTTATTTTTTCTGAAGAAAGATAAACATGCATAGTGATGAAAGCTAAAATATTAAATGGCATGGATGCATATTTACTGAGTAAGCCACTATTTTGGATTAGATTTCAAAAGAAAAGTTTATTAAGAACTAGAATCTAAAATCATATTGCAATATATTTAATACTTCTTGAGTTATAGGCAGGCAAACTTTGGAAAAGAATATATGTGGCACTCAGGCAGTTATGTTCAATGCAGTTGTTTTAACAAAAGGAAGCCAGATACATTTCTAGTTTAAACATTATTTGTTCTTCAGACATTCTTCTTTAAAAGAAAAGCAGTGTCATATTTTTTGAAAGTGACCCACATTTTGTTTTTGACCACTGAAAATGTGTACCAAAAGTCTAATTGAACAATTTTTATATTTTGCAAGTGCATATACATATACCAATGTGATCTCATGATAATTCGTATGTATTTTACGTAACGTGGTTCTATAAAACGTACATTTACTTACGTTTTTACAGGCACTAAAACGTACAATACTTACGTATTTTCAGCATTTTAACGTACAAAACTGACGT